CTGGCCACACCCCCGATGGGCTTCCACCCCCCTGATCAGCCTTCAGCCCCTCCCCCTGGTCAGCCCTGTGCCTGATTGCCCTCCCACTCCAATAGAAAGCAGAGACAGCCAGCCAATCTCCTGCAGCCCCTCCCCCTATGGCCTCACCCCAGATCAGCCAACCCATCCCCATCAGAGGCAGGACCAGCCAGCCAACCACACATGGCCCCTCCTCAAGGCTTCTTGCCTTCAATTATCATCCCCATCTCATTCATGGGTGGGGTCCACCAGTCAATTACCCCCTGCCCCTTCCCCCTGTTGGTCGAGCACTGATCAGGCCTTCATCAGGGTGGGTGAGTGGGCCAACCTCTCACCATCTCCTTCTCCCAAATGGCCCAGTCCCAATCCCACCTGAGCACGAATTTGTGTATTAAACCTCTGATAGTTTTATAGAATGAATTCGATATGTGTTACATGCAGTTGAGTCAGCTCTGATTCCTGGTGACCTGATGATGACTGATGGCCACACTGTCTTGACCTCAACAGCTCTGTTGAACACCTGTAGACTCATTTCTGTGGCTTCTTTTATGGAGTCAGTCCATGTCATATTTAGTCTTTCTCTTTTCCTGCTGCCTTCTATTTTTCACTTAGGTGGTTAGTCACTAATTTTTGACTTGGGTAGTGTGCCACTATTTTCTATATTCAGAAACAGTTTACATAGCAAAGAACTAAATGTTTCTTTAATTTTAAAAATTATTCATCTATAAAACATCTATGTTGTTTGGAGGTGAGAAAAGGAATGGAAATTGAGAGTAATGATAGCATTCTCTGTACTTCAGTTACTGGTCCATTCAAATTTGTTCTTGTGTTTAAGTCAGCGTTGTTTATAGTTTTCCAGAAAAGTATTCATTTCATTGGCATTTCAATTAACATACACTTGTTCATAATTATTCTCTTATATTTTAGCTTCTTTTTTTAATTTAATAAATCTAATTTTATTGTTCAGATTATTCCAATTGTTTCCCCTTTTTCCACCCATAGCTCCCCTCCACCCGGTGCCCATCCTATCCTCTGCCCTTACCTCCCCTTCCACTGTCCTCATCCATAGGTGTACAATTTTTGTCTAGTCTCTTCCTGTATCCCCACACTCCTTTCTCCCTGAGAATTATCAATCCATTCCCATTCTATGCCCGTATTCTATTATATTCACCAGTTTATTCTGTTCATCAGATTTTTAATTCACTTAATTTTTAGATTCACTTGTTGATAGATATGTATTTGTTGTTCATAATTTTTATCTTTACCTTTTCTTCTTCTTCCTCTTCTTAAAGAATACCTTTTAGCATTTCATATAATACTGGTTTGTCAGTGATGAACTCCTTTAGATTTTTATTATCTGTGAAGCTCTTTATCTGACCTTCAATTCTGAATGTTACCTTGGCTGGGTAGAGTACTCTTGGTTGTGGGTTCTTGCTATTCATCACTTTGAATATTTCTTGCCACTCCCGTCTGGCCTGCATAGTTTCTGTTGAGAAATCAGCTGACAATCGTATGGGTGCTCCCTTTTAGGTAACTGTTTTTTTCTTGCTGCTTTTAATATTCTCTCTTTGTCTTTTGCCCTTGGCATTTTAATTATGATGTGTCGTGGTGTGGTCCTCTTTGGATTCCTTTTGTTTGGGGTTCTGTGTGCTTCCTGGATTTGTAAGTCTATTTCTTTCACCAGGTAGGGGAAGTTTTCAGTCATTATTTCTTCAAATAGGTTTTCAATATTTTGCTCTCTCTCTTCTTCTGGCACCCCTATTATTTTGATATTGGTACACTTGAAGTTGTCCCAGAGATTTCTTACACTATCTTCAACTTTTTGGATTCTTTTTTCTTTTTGCTTTTTTGGTTGAGTTTTTTGCTTCTTTGTATTTCAAATCTTTGACTTGATTCTTGCATTTCTCTAGTCTGCTATTGGATCTCTGTATAATATTTTTTTTTCAGACAGTGTATGTATAATTTCTAGTTGGTCCTTTTTCATATCCTTGAAGGTCTGCTTAATTTATCTGCCTTTTCTAGAAAATTCTTGAAAAACCTTAGAACCGTGGTTTTGAACTCTATATCCAGTCATTTGTTTTCTTCAGTTTCTTTCATTTGTGATCTGTTTCCTTGTCTCTACATTTTCACTGCTTCCCTGAGTTGGTAGGGTGGCTTTGTGTGCTAGGTTTCCTATACAACACAGTGGGTCAGCCTCCCAGTTACCTGAGGTGTACACTCTTGGTGCACCTCTTTGTGGACTGTGTATACAGCTTTGTTGTAGTTAAGTCTTGATTGTTGTTGGTATCACTGGGAGGAATTGACTTCTAGGCCAATTGGCTGTGAGGACCTGCTGTGTCTATAATGGAAGAACTGCTGTGCTGGAGACACCCTTATGGTGTAGGACTTGTTTCAGTGGGGCTTTGGTGATCACTGAGTCTGCCTCTTGAATGTGTTACTTATGGATGTGAGTAGTTGAAATCTGGTGTTGTCTTACATTGACCACTAGATACACTAGCTTCTGGATCTCCAATGGGATGCAGGTCAGCTACTTTCTGAGGCCACCCAACAAGAGCTACAGGGAGAACTACAGTTTTGTCCTCTTTGCTTGGGGTTTGGAGGTTTTGAAGTTGTCTAACCAGAGCTGCAGTTTGTTAGATTATTCTGCTATAAGGCAGGCCATTTATATGCAAAAACCCCTGTATAGGTTAGGTAGGCTTGTAGATTGCGTGAGGCAGGGACTCAGGGAGTCCCTAGGCTAGGGCGTGGCAAACAGCGATGTCTGCCAGTCAGCCTTCTCTGCATTACTGCATTTCCAATTCCCTGCATCCTGCACCCCAGCTCAGTAAAAAATGATTGCTGGGCGCATCTCTGCAAAAAAGTCACCCTCACTTTCCAACCCAATGGCAGACAGTCCAGCTTCTTCCAGTAGAAGTTTGGGTCCCTAGTGTCTCCCCAGAAACTGGAGTTAAGAGTAATTGAGAGCTTGTCTCCCTTTGGGTTGAAAAAAGCAGTGTACCCAGTTGCCAGCCAGCAGACCAATTTGCACATCTCCATACCTCAGCTTTTCAGCACTTGTGCACGTCTCAATGCTCTTTTCTCTTTCCTTCCAGGTGTAGAACTTCCACTCAGCCAGCTTTCTTATGGTTCTGGGTGATAGATGTTTTGTCTTTTAGTTGTAGTTTTGAAATTGTTGTGCGAGGCAGCATTTTGGTGTTTACCTAGGCTGCCCTATTGTTTTCTCCTATTTTTAGCTTCTTTGTAACATTTCTGAGGACTTTATTTTCTGAATTTGATTTTTTTTTCTGTTCCCAAGAATGACCATTTGGATTTATTTACTATTGCTAGTGCTTTCTGTTTTCTAGTTCATCAGTTTTGCTTTATTGTTTTCTCCTTTTTTCCCCCCTTAAGGTTATTTATTATTCTTTTCCTTTTTCTAACTTCCTGATGTAAACACTTTGGTATGAGGTTGTTTTGTTTGTTTCTTTCACCTCTCTTTTTAAATTATGAAAGCATATATAGCCATGAGTTTAATTCCAAATGCTGCTCTGTCAATATTATATAAAATTCTCAGTTTTGTTATTTTTAAAATATTTTTCCTTATCTAAAGAAGATCTTGACTATTTAGGCAAATGTGTTTAGATTTCCAAGTAGTTAGTTTTTTGTTTATCTATTTAACTATATTTTTAAAAAAATTTCTTTTGGTGTGGAGGTCAAAGGATATGCCTTTATTATTTTGATTTAAAAATTTATTGAGCCTTTTTTTGTAACCTAATATAAAATCAATTAAAAATGTATGTATCATACTTATAAAAATAGTGTTTAAGTCATACAGATCATATAAAAATACCACCTAATACATTTTTATTTTTTTATTAATTTTTTATGATTTTATTTATTTGTTTTTTATCCATTCGGTCCATCTTAAATTTATAGTTGTATATAAAATGTCTCCTCCACCATTATTTTACTATTTCTCCATATATATATATATATATATATATATATATATATAATTTTTGCTTTATGTATTTTAACTTCTAGATTATATCTTTATAAAAATAAAATTACCTTCATTACTACCATCATGAGTGTTTTTGTTAACTTGAATTTTACTTCGTCCAGTATTAATAATACTCTAGATCTTTTTTCTGTTTTTGCTTCATATAGTTTTGATCATCTATTATGTTTAATCTATCTTTACCTTTTATATTACTAGATATTATTCTTGAAAATATAATACATTAATTTTGTTTTTAAATTAATATGGAAGTACTTGCCTTTCTCTTTTTAAAAATATTTTTATTGATTTTTAGAAAGAAATGATGGGAGAGTGATAGAGAGATAGAAATATCAATGAGAGAGGAACACCATCAATTACCTGCCTCCTGCACACCCCAATTTGGGGATCCAGCCCATGACCTGAGCATGTGCCCTGTCCCAGGAATCTAAACGTGACCTCTTGGTTTCTAGGTTGACACCCAACCACTGAACCACACGGACTGGTCTGAAAATCTTTATCTTTCTATAAAAAATTTACCCATTCAAATATATTATATTTTCATATATTTTTATTCATTTCAGAGAGAAAAGGAAAGGGCAAGAGATAGAAAAAAAAAATCAATGAGTGAGAGAACCATTGAGCAGCTGCCTCCTGCACACCCCACACTAGGGATCAAGCCTACAACCTGAGCATATGCTCTGACCGGGAATCGAGCCATGACCTCCTGATGCTCAACCACTGAGTCATGCTGACTGGGCTTTATGATTATTATTTCTATACTAAGTATTCTTGTCATCTCATTTCATGTGTTTGTGAAAATACATTTATCATTGTTGATGCTAATACCTAATTGTTTCTTATTCTCTTTTGCAGTGTGATTAGGTTTTGTTTTGTTTTGTTTGTTTTGTATCTAAAGTCAACATCTTATATTTAATGGTACCAGTTGTTTACTTTAAAAATTCTTAAAAGCATTTTTAACTTATTTGCTTTTTAAAACTAGGATAACGGTGAATGTACAGATCTTGCATATATGGATCCTCAGCTAAGAATTGCTTCCTTCTCACAGAAGTGTGAGGTTTTTCCAGGTATGCAATAATACATGTTTGTGCTATATTAGAACATGCTGATCCCAGACAACTGGCAAGGTCTTTTTATAGGAATTGTGCTTTGGTCCCATGATATAATCAACAGCCCTTACAGCTGTACCCCATTTCTGCACAGTTGTGCTATAGCTGATGCAATAGGGACTGCTCTCCCAGTGGCCAGAGGGAATATGGTGACAGGACAGATTGATGTTCTTTGATCAAAGATGATCTCTAGAGGCAATGTCAGCTGGTCTTTCTTGTGTATAAGATGTCACTACATCAGGTGTTACAAATTAGGGAAGCTATATCTCCTATTTAATCACTCAGAATAAAATCCTTTCAATTAATTTTTTTTCTCCTGCATATTATATTGGGGTGAAAGTGAAATAGTGCAGGTTTATGTTCAAGCCAGTGTTTCTTATACCAAGAGTTGACTTTTCTCATACTTGGAAGATGTTTGCATATTTTCCACAGTGAGAAGCATCATTGAAGCTCCCTGCTCACCAGAATCAGAGGACTTAAAATTTTCCCACCAGAGAATCGTTCCTTTAAATTAAGCATTGCTTTTTTACACTTTCTTTCAAAAATGCAAAAACTTAGGAACAGTGCAGCTCATTGATATTGAAGGTGTACTAGCTAACACCTTCTGATGGAAGGTTTCACTAAATACCCTTGACTCTGAGGAGAGGAAAAGAGGACAGGCAGTAAGGTGAAGGTCATACAGACAACCTCTACCCGCTTACTACTGGCCTTTAGGCTGCACATGGCCCTCTGCTAATTAGTGCTGGACAATGTGCAGGAGAGGCACTAGGCTAGACTGCTCCTTTGGTGCACACACTGACTTAAAACCTGCTTCTTCTTTCAGCGGAGGATTTTGTATTACCACCTACCAGAGTTTGTCCTGGCTGCCCCAAAAAGATACCAGTTGACCACCCAGATCTGAAGGAGCCTCTGACTCATTCCATTACAAAGCTTAATGCAGAGAATAATGCAACCTTCTATTTCAAGATTGACACTGTGGACAAAGCAACATCACAGGTCTGTAAATTAAAGTACAAAAACAGTGATATTACAGTCTATCTGCAAACTGCTTACTAATATCACAACTGGTCTTGGGCTGGAAAATAGTATACCTGGTAAAAGGAATTGAATGTCACATCTCAACCACATTACATACTTTTGCTATGTGATCTTAGTTAAGTCATTTAGAACATCCATTTTCTGTCTCTAAAAAAACTGGAGTGAAACTCAAATAAGATCATGTATGTCAAGCCTTGGCCAGGTAACTCAGTTGGTTAGAGGCCTTGTCCTGATATGCCAAAGTTGCAGGTTTGATCCCAAGTCAGGAGACATACAAGAAACAACTAGTGAATGCATAAATAAATGGAACATAAAAAGAGAGATAATATATATCAATACATTATCTTCTCGAACTTTAATGTGTTATATAAATTCTAGCAACAATTATGTAATTAATAAAATGTAGGGCAAGGAAAATCTACTTTTATTCTCTATCTTTCTAGAGTTGTTTCTTGTTGTAGCATCACTTAGTGCCTTGGAATCAGCCACATGTCAGTCTATCATCACCCAGACTCTCTTCACACTCTCACCTCCATGTCACTTCCCAACTGCCTAGGTCTCCTTCGAGCCCACAAATGTGTCCTCTAGGGCAGTGTTTTGCAACCTTCCTAATGCTGTGATCCTTTAATACAGTTCCTCATGTTGTGGTGACCCCCAACCATCAAATTATTTTCATAACTGTAATTTTGCTACTGTTATGAATCGTAATGTAAATATGTGTTTTCTGATGGTCTTAGGCGACCCTGCTAGCAGTTCTCAACATGTGAGTCATGACCCCTTTCACAGGGGTCACCTAAGACCACAGGAAAAAAAACAGATATTTACATTACCATTTATAACAGTAGCAAAATTATAGTTATGAAGTAGCAATAAAAATAACTTTATGGTTGGGGGGTCACTACAACATAAGGAACTATATTAAAGGATCGCAGCATTAGGAAGGTTGAGAAGCATTGATCCATGCTATTCAAATGGTAAGAATTCCTTCTTTTTTATAGCAGCATAGTATTCCATTGTGTAGATTTACTGAATTTTTAATCCACTCATCTGCTCATGGGCACTTAGGCTGTTTTTAAATCTTAGTTTTTATAAATTGTGTTGTTATGAACACAGAGGTGCATATATCTATTTAAAAATTATTTAATTTTTAGTTTTACATATGTCTCCACCCCTCCCCCCATTAACATCTCTCTGGCCATTCCCACCCCCAAACATATGCCCTCACCTCCCTAGTGTCTGTGTCCATGGGTTCTGCTTATGGCATGCATACAAGTCCTTTGGTTGCTCTCTTACCCACCCAGACCCCCAATGCTATTCTTGTGTTTGTCAGCTTTTCTTCTCACTTCAGATTTCTGCTTTCTTGTGAAATTCCTTTATTCTTGATGCAGGAATACCCTCTACTCTACCATATATTGCATATCAGAGGTTTGCTGTCAGGAGAGAGAACCACTCATTTTATACATGACTATCTAGTCTTCATAGTACTTGCAGTTCTCTGTTAATTAATGAATCCATATCCCAGCACGGTGTGTATTTGTTTATGCCAAGGATGCCAGGGGAACAACAGGTAATACTGTAAATTGAAGGGAACTGACATTCCTTCACTTGCCAAGTCAATTTGAAATGTGGTGAGAATCTCAGACTTACTTACAAAGATGAATCTCTACTGGCTTTTACATTTAAAGAGAACAATTTGGCTGTTCCGACATGATTATTCAAGGAGGCCCTGCTGGAAGCAGCCAAGTTACCACTTGATGATTTTGCCAAATAACCAATTTTTGCCAAAGATTTATTTTACAGATTCAGTCTTCCTTGGCTTTGCATACTTAGTCCTATTTGGATGCATGTCCATTTCCAGCCGGTTTCAGATGCCAAATATTTCTTAAATTCTCCTTTTGCACATGTGAATGATGTGATTTCTGTCATAGGCCATTTCTTTTGCCCTTCCTCTGCCGCTACTGTCCCCACTGTTGGCCATATTCCTCCCTGTCTTTGCTCAGATGAATATACTTCAAGGATCTGGGGGTGCACATTTAAGAATTTTTCCTTTAACAAAATACTAGAAATGTCTAGGCATATGTGTATGTGTAAGACTTCTGATGCCAATTGTCAAATTGCCAAACTATTTGTTTTTATGCCATTTTGTATTCATACCACCTGACTATAGGACCTTGATCATCTTGCTTTGATTTCTATTCCTACCAACAGTGTCTGAGGCTGTGTGCTTCCCACACGCGGCCAATACCAGGTATCACCACTGTGTTTTTATCTTTGCCAACATGTGGAAGATTAAAAGTGCTGTTGTGTTGTTGGTTTTTTTAATCTTTGGTTGTTAATGAAGATAGTCATTTGTTTCTGGCTTAATGATTATTTTAACTTCTTTTCTGAAATACTTGTTCATGTCTTTTGTTCATTTTTTTTCCTATTGAGATTTACATGCATAAGAATATTAATTTTATAACCATATTTTCCTCATCTTTTATTTTATTTAGTTTGCTTGCTGTGATTTTTGAGAATCAGTTGTCCTTTCTCTCTGAACAAATTTAGACATTTTTTCTCCATTTAGATTTTCTTCCTCTGCTTTTCACCTAAGAAAGGCCTTCTTCCTCCTAAGACCTGATGGATACATATTTATATCTTCTGAGTTTATTTCATCAATTTAAATTCTTCATACATTAGGAATTTATTTTGCTATATGGCTATCTCTACTTTAAAAACAAAGATTGAACAGGATGAGTTTGAGCAGGGAAGACTTTTGATAAGAATGACACCTGATAGTAATGCCGATAGAGATGCCATCTTGTGGACCTCAAATGGGAGATTTACATCTGTTTAATTCCTTCTTCTTGACCCTGAATAGAGTTGAGCCATCAGTTGTGGTTTGTATCACATATTGTCAAGTTTCTTAGGCAACATTACTTTGATTAACATTATTGTTACAGAAAGTTAGATTAAGATATATTCTGAAATGAGCAAGAAAACTATGATCACCAAAAATATAGACCCTAAAACCCTTTTAGAACATTACTTCCCATTTACACCTATACCTGGAGTCTTAAAAGTTAAGGATCAAAATTTTCTTAAAAATTTAACCATGTTTACCCAGCAGAAAAATGCCAGAAAAAGTAGAGGGGGAGCTTAGTTCTTCCTATAACTCTGTTCTCCTGCTCTCTTCCTCCCGCCACACATTTTCCATGCTTTTAAAAAACACAGGGATAGGGAAGACTGTTGTGGTTTGCTTTTTCAAACGAGATTATACTATCACCCTGTAACTTCATTTATTTTATTTCTTAATATGATTTTATTGATTTTAGAGAAGAAGGGAGAAGGAGAGAGAACCACTGTCTCATGCATCACACACACACCCTCCCTCCCCCAACACAGCCTCCTCCCCAAACCTGGGAATTAAAGCCACAATTCAGGCATGTGTCCTGACTGAAAATCAGGTGCGTGGGATGACATTTAATGGATTAAGCCACACCAACCAGGGCTGTAACTTCATTTTTTAAAATAATAGTCATCTCTTCAGGTCAACTGATATATTTATGTATTCTTTTATACACACACACACACACACACACACACACACACACACACACTTAGATCCTAGAATTAAGTACTAAATAACTTGGACTAGAAATTGGGCCATAAAAACTAACTTTTTAACATACAATTTAAAGTCACTTTCATCAAGTATATTTTTAAAGTTTGAGATGTAAGATATGGCATTTAAAAATGACTTTTAAAAAGCTATATGTGCAATTTTATTGAAGTCAGTGTAATTTTAAAAAGCATGAGTTTGATTTTTAAATAAATAAATTGTGCCTCTTTTATATAAAAATAAATAAATAAATTGGGCGACAAAATATTCATGTGGACACAGCATTCTATAAAGATTAAAGATGTTGCTACAGTACTGGCCAGTGTGGCTCAGTTGGTTGAACATCGTCCTGAGCACCAAAAGTTTGTGGATTCAATTTCCAGTAAGGGCACATGCACAGTCTTGATCCTAAGTAAGGGGCATAAAGGCGGCAGCTAATCGATGTTTCTCTCTCTCTCCTTCTTTCTTCCTCTTCCTCTAAAAACCCACTTTTAAAAAAACTCTTGATAGAGATTAAAATGATTTCTTTTTTAAAAAAATATATATATTTTATTGATTTTTTACAGAGAGGAAGGAGAGGGATAGAGAGTTAGAAACATCGATAAGAGAGAAACATTGACCAGCTGCCTCTTGCACACCCCCTAATGGGGATGTGCCCACAACCAAGGTACAAGCCCTTGACTGAAATCGAACCTGAGACCTTTCAGTCTGCAGACTGACGCTCTACCACTGAGCCAAACCGGTTTTGGCTAAAATGATTTCTTAATGTAAAACAACTAGAGGGCCAGTACACTAAATTTGTACACCGGCTGGGGGGTTGTCCCTCAGCCCAGCCTGTACCCTCTCCAATCTGGGACCCCTCGAGAGATGTTAAACTGCCCATTTAGACCTGATGGGATTGGGTCTAAACAGGCAGTCAGACATCCCTCTCACAATCCAGGACTGCTGGCTCCCAACTGCTCACCTGCTTGCCTTCCTGATCGCCCCAACTACTTCTGCCTGCCAGCCTGATCACCCCTATCACTCCCATGCCAGACTGATTGACTTCTAACTGCTCCCCTACCAGCCTCTTTGCCCCCAATTTCCCTCCTCTGCCAGCTTGGTCACCCCTAACTTCCCTCTCCTATAGGGTTGATCGCCTCCAACTGCCCTCCCTTGAAGACTTGGTCCCTCCCAATTGTCCTCCCTTGCTGGCCATCTTGTGGTGACCATCTTGTGTCCCCATAGGGGCAGGATCTTTGACCACATGGGGGGAGCCATCTTGTGTGTTGGATTGATTGTCAATCTGCATATTACTCTTTTATTAGATAGGATAGAGGCCTGGTGCATGGGTGGGGGCCGGGTGGTTTGCCCTAAAGGGTGTCCTGGATCAGGGTGGGGGCTCCCTTAGGGTGTGGCCTGGGCAAGGGGTCTGTGGTGGTTTGCAGGCCACACACCCTGGAGACCCAAGCAGAGGCCCTGGTATCTGGAATTTATTTACCTTCTACAATTGAAACTTTGTAGCCTGGAGTGAAGACCTAGGTGGGCCAGTGCAGGTGGAAAGCTTGGCTTCCTCCATTGCCAGAGGAAACCCTAACTTGCTCTCTCTAGCTCTGTGGCTGCCACTATTTTTCTTGGGATTTATATTCTATAACTGAAACTTTGTAGCCTGGAGTGGAGGCCTAGGCTGGCCAGGGTATGTGGAAAGCTTGGCTTCCTCTATTGCCAGGGAAACCCAAGCCTCTCAACTGCCCTCTGTGGCTGCAGCCATCTTAGTTAGGGTTAATTTGCATGCTTGCTCTGATTGGTTGGTGGGCGTGGCTGGTGGGTGTGGTTTGAGTGGAGTGATGGTTAATTTGCATATCACTCTTTTATTAGATAGGATTAAGAGAGGCAAACTAAAAAATCCAAAGGATTTTCCTAATCACAGAATTTAACCCACAATTTCTGTAGTGACACTAATTCAACATTTCTCTGATTCAAGATTGGCATGACAGTAAGGCATACTTAAAGAAAATGTTTAAGTTTTTTTCCCTATTCTTCTTAGATTCTATTAAGACTTGAGTGCTTGAATGTTGTTGAATAAGAAAAATCATGAAAGTATAAAAATAAAAATTGTAGCTTTGTTTTCTTTTATAAAAAAGGAAAGAAGACAAACCAACAGCCAAATATTTTACACATGTATGCAAACTAAAAATTTAACTGTCAAACATTTGTACTTTTATTTGTATACTTCTCATTTGATCAGTGTATAATTAAAATTTTAATATTCTCCCCTAAGATCCCTTAAGGTAAAGACATATAATCCTATCTAATAAAAGAATAATATGCAAATCAGCCATTACTTCGCTACATCACTTTGTTCCCCAGGGTTTCATACCCACATTCAAGTGTGAGAAACATTAGTTTGTATCATTTCCAATTTTTAAGAGAACCTTGGGAGGTAAGTAAGACTTTTCCCATTATCAAGGATGAGACACTAAAAATTGCAAAGATGCTGAGATCCTGGAGTGGATAAACCCAGAGGGCAGTTAAGGGCAAACAGGCTGGCAGGGGTGTGGTTAGGGGTGATCAGGCTGGCAGGCAGAAGCAGTTAGGGGCAGTCAGGAAGGCAGACAGGTGAGCAGTTGGGAGGCAGCAGTCCTGGATTGTGAGAGGGATGTCTGACAGACTTTGAGGGGTCCCAGATTGGAGAGGGTGAAGGCTCGGCTGAGGGACATCCCCCTCCATGCACAAATTTCATGCACTGGGCCTCTAGTTTATTATATAATATTAATTAAGTTTCTACTTTGTGCTAATTAATTTTCCAGGTGGTGGCTGGGAGAAAATATTTTATTGAGTTCACAGCCAGGGAAACCACATGTTCCAAGGAAAGTAATAAAGAGTTGACCGAAAGTTGTGAGATCAATAAACTTGGGGTGAGTAGTCATGCAATTCTCTACTTATCCCCTGTAAATCTACTTAATATTTTACACTTGTCTAAGTATTTCATGAATAACACTGTTCTCTCCTTTGGCTTTGTTTTCATGGATAGGAAATTCTAAAATGCACTTCTGAAGTTTATGTGATACCCTGGGAGAATAAAATTTATCCTACTGTCAAATGCCAATCAACAGGAAAGGTATGGTTCTAATTAGTCATCTAGTGTAAATTTTGCTCATTCTTTAAAGTCCTATTTGTGGGTTGAAAATGAACCACTATTTAAATGAATTGGGGGACTATCTTTTTAGAATGTAGAGAACTCTCACATTTCTGTGCTGACCTCTCTTTTTTATGTCTAGAAATGAAAACCACAGCCAGTTCCCTTAATAACTACTCACCCATTGTAAATGTCCTATCCCTCAGGTGGCTCTCTCTTAATGAAGGGAAGCCCTTGCTGGGCAGAGCCAATGCAAGCTCTGCAGATTTAAGCTGTGCCTGAGATGCTTCACTGGCATTTGCCTCCATTCAAGAGACTTGATGTCTGACTCTACTCCACACCAACTTAATCCAAATCTGCAGTTTAATATGGTCCCCAGGGTTTCATACCCACATTCAAGTGTGAGAAACATTAGTTTGTATCATCTTTTCCAATTCTTAAGAAAACTTTGAGAGGTAAGTAGCACATTTCCTATTGTCAAGGATGAGACACTAAAAATTGCAAAGATGTTGAGAACCTAGAGTGGATAATACATGATCAAGTGTTTCCTCTGATCCAGGCACTGTACTGAGGATGTCACACATATTTTTCTCTCGAAAACTCCATGAGGCAGGTGCTGCTGTTATTCCTATTTTAGAGGTGAGAAAATCGAAGTTAGTGCGAGTGGTACGTGGATACAAGTGTAGGTCAAATCAGAGTTATCCATGTTCACATGATGCTAATAACTAGGCTCTGTCTTATTTGACTCCAAAGACTATGTTCTCTGCTCCACTGAACACTGAATCCAGCATCCTATTCTCACCAGGAATGAAATGTAGGTAGGAATCACCCATATCTGCAATGCAAGTTGCTTCTTATCTTTTTTTTCTGAATTAGATTTTTCCCTGTATAGGTTCATATGCAGTGTAAACCAGACATTATACAAAGGCTGAATTTCAAGCTTGTGAACATGTCCTAATGTGTTTCAGCCCAACAAAGTAATTGTGGGCATATGCTGCATATATATTCAATCTATAAAGCCATTTAGGGTCTTTTGCTATAAAAACTGTAATTGTACTAATAGAAATAGTATCTTATATAATAAAGAGGTAATATGCAAATTGACTGCCACATTCTTACATAAGATGGCCGCCCCCATGTGGTCACAAGATGGCTGCCACAAGATGGCCAACAGGGTAGGGCAGTTGTGGGCAATGAGGCCAACAGAAAAGGGCAGTTAGGGGTGACCAGGTCTTCAAGGATGGGCAGTTGGGTGTGATCAGGTCAGCAGGGGAGGACAGCTAAGGGAGACCTTTTCGGCAGGGGAGGACAGTTGGGGGTGACCAAGCCTGTAGGGGAGGGCAGTTGGAAAAAGTGTTACATAAAAGGAAGAGAAAAATTGTGTGAGAGTGAGAAGCCAATAAAAAAGTAAAATACAATTGTGTGTGAAGGGGAAAATATATATATATTTTTAAAAATTAATAGGGGTGACCAGGCAAGCAGGAGAGGGCAGCTGGGGGTGACCAGGCCAGCAAGGAGGACAGTTAGGGAAATCAGGCAATATGTGAGGGTAGTTAGGGGGATCAGGTCAGCATAGGAGGGAAGTTAGGTGGATCAAGCAGGCAGGCAGAGTGGTTAGGGCAGGCAGGCAGGCAGGTGATCAGTTAGGAGCCAGAGGTCCCAGATTGCGAGAGAGATGTCAAACTACCAATTTAGGCCCAATCCCACTGGCACTGGGACATTCCTCAAGGGCCCCCAGATTTGGAAGTGTGCATGTCAGGCTGAGGGACTTCCCCAACTACCTGTGCATGAATTTCGTGCACCAGTCAATTAATAAATAATGTGCCACAATAGTTCAACCTCCCAGTTTTTCCAGATAATTAAAAACCTGTCCAGTTTAGAGGAGTATTATTAAGAAATATTCCCAAATTATAAAATCAATCAAAAGAGAAAAGATATTCATTCTCATCCACTTGGCAATATTAACATAGCACTTAAAACCTGGCTAAAGACTTGCTTCATTGTAAACCAAGATAGCATTGTCAGGTCTCAGTCCCTTCTTTCTTCATTGAGAATGTGGTTTCCACAGTAATGCATTCATCTTAATATTTTTTATTTAGACCTCATTGATGAAAAGACCTCCAGGTTTTTCACCTTTCCGGTCAGTACAAGTGGCAGAAACAAAAGAAGAAACAATTGTAAGTCCACCCCACACTTCCATGGCACCTGTACAAGATGAAGAGCAGGATTCAGAAACAGTACAAGGACCCACTCGTGATCATGGCTGGGGCCATGAAAAGAAAATAAAACATGGCCTTGGCCATGGCCATAAACATGAGCATGACCAAGGCCATGGACATCAAAAGGGACATGATCTTGTCCATGGACATCAATGGAAACATGGCCAAGCCCATAGACTTAAACATAAGTATGGTCATGGCCATGAAAACATAAAAATAAAGAAAAGCAAAATGGAAATCACAATGATTGGAGAACAAGTTCTTCTGAAGATAGTACTACATCTGCACAGACACAAGAGAAGACAGAAGGGGATGTTGGCCAGTCAGGTGTAGCAGTTGATTTTCCTGAATTTCGTGACGTAGATCTCATTGCAGACATGATGACTAACATACCTCCAACTCCCACAGAGAATGATGATTCTTGGATCCCTGAAATCCAGATAGAGCCAAATAGCCTTTCATTTAACCTGATTTCTGATTTCCCAGAAACAACTTCCCCCAAGTGTCCTGGACGCCCTTGGTAGCCAGTTAATGGAATGAATCCAACTGTGGAAACAAAAGAATGTCATGATTTCGATCCCTCTGATGCTCTTTATTAATGTATGCAGCCATGGGTGTTTCTTTAATACTTCATCATCCCCTTTCACCATTGCCCACATACCCTGGTATAATGCACTAAAAACTATGAGCTTCAAAACAGCCTGGAGAGAAGTGATGATACTCCCAGTGGGGACACCATCAATTTCTATGGACAACACAAAACTGAGTGCAGGATTCTAAATCTTTTCTGAATCTTCCTCACAAGTTTTCTTAACTAGCACAGAAAATGGACAAATTTGCCTGTGTCCTATAGCAATTTGCTTTTCTAATAACAAACATGTAGCTTAGAATGGATGTCATCAACTTTCATTACAAAGATTCTTGCCATTCTGAATAAATGGTGGTATCTCATCCCTAAACATATGTGAAAATAAGGAAAGTCAAGAGACTGAATACTGAACTTCTTAACAGAGCAAAAATAATAATAAAAGTCACCAGAGGTCAAAGAGGGACAACAAGAAAGACAGATTGGCCAAAGAGAGAACAGTAAAGTAATTGACTTTCTGTTTCCAAAATGGGCTAGTTATATCAAATAGTCACTTCCACTTCACAAAGCTCTTTTAATTCTCTTTCTGAGTCAGAGTGTTTTTCAAAAGTTAGCAATTTCTATTTACTCATTAAATACTCTTGGCAACAAGGCTTTGAGATAGGAGTTTTCTGTTTGTCTATTTGTTGCTGAGTCTAGAATGATCAGTCCTTAGTTTTGAACAGCTCTGAGTTTAATAACAATGGAAGCAGGAGTAGTGACATAGGAAATCTTTTTTTTTATAATTGACAAGGGAATATCATAAGATTTAATGCAAAATTTATTTAGAAATTTTATGAGGAAATGCCTCACTAGCCACCCTTTATCATTGAATCATCTTTTTGCTACGACATTGAAGAGCACCGATTTTTACAAAAAAAGGACAATATGATTGTTGTTAATTGCTTCTATTGTGAGGGAAGCAGTCATTTCATAACTCTTGCCGTGTTCTGCCTAGGGAAACAGGACAGGGCTTTAAACAGCTACAGTCCCTTGTGGATGCATTGGCACTGTTACTTCAAGTTATTGGACGCATTTGAGCCTATGAGGTTTTATTCCATTTCAAATACTATCTGTTCTTTTCAATAAAGAACCAATGATGTCAGAAAAAAATCTCATCTTGTCAACTGGTGGCTTCACTCTTCTCTTATTGAACATCATTTTAACAGACTTTTACTATACTTACAGAAGCAACTAAGGTCCTTCTGCCTGTACAAGGGCCGGCCTCAGGAGGCAGGGACAGAGCCAACATCTGAGAGTGAGGTCTCTTGACCAGTGGCCAGAATCTCCATGCCTGGCACAATAATCCCAGCCTGTCAGCAGCCTTGAATGGAAGGACAAGAAGATGGGAGAGAATGTCAATAGAGAAGAATGCCATTTTATTGTTCTGGTTCTGGGTGAAATAAAGTTTGATCTTCATGTTCTCACTCCTGGTTAATTCACAGTAGTGTGCTTTCAGCCACACCCATCCTGCAGCAAAGTCCAGTTGATCAGAGAGCATGCTCTACCATGGGGACTCAGTGCAACTCTGAACAGGCAGGGTTCCCTTAAGTGAGCCTTCCTAATACTAGGACTTCATCATGGGCTCTAAATCAAGGGTTTTGTGGGTGATGATTCCATCAGCAATCTAAGGGGTCGCTCTACCTTCCCTTTTTCTCCTCTCTCTCTTTTCTCATCTCTCTCTCCTGATTTCCAACCCAAAGTTAAAAGATATTTGTCTTGTTTTGTTATTTTTTTTAAAAGATCTAGATAATTACCAAAAAAGAAAACAAACACACAAAAAAATATTCTTTGTTACTAGGATGCCTACCAACTTTTCACTAGCAAAAATTATCAAACCTCAAAAAAGTTTAAAGAAAATTTAAAATGGTCTTTCTGGTTCAAATAATGGTAAAAAGTAGACATCTAATAGAATAAAAAGTGGTAAGAGATTTTTTAATTTTCTGTAATAGGTATTTACTGAATGCCTATTCGAGCCATTTACCATGTTAGACAGTTTCTGTTTGGTGTGTGACTTAGTCCCACAACAACTCTGAGGTCCCCCATGACCACCTGTCATTTCCAATGAGGAAACTAGCTCCCAGTGCCCTGCTCAGGGTCATACAATTTTATTACATGATAGAGCTGGCGTTCATACTCAGATCTTTTGAACTTAATTCATCATGAGGTATTATTATCAATGTCGGCATTACAAAAAACACGTTTCTGAATCTGAGATGATCATTATCTCAATACAAAAACCCTGATTAAATATCTTACTGTGTCTGATGTTGTTCTGAGTACTGCTCAGGGTAAACTATGATGAAGTTAAGCCCTGGCATTGGCTATTTACTGTTTGCTTAGCACTAGGAACTGAAAAAAAGAGAAACAAGTGTTAAGAGACTTAACTCCTGAAAGAATTTACAATCCATTGAGAAGTTAGGACTAAAGCATGTGGAACTGAATTTAATCCATGCCATGAACATTTGTGGAGCAGTAAGCAGACCTGATGAATGGGATAGGAAGATATGAACTAGGTGGAAAGATAAAATTAAGCCCAACTGGTAATTTGGATTTGAAGTAATAGCAGAGTGCCTCTGACAGTTCTTACGCAGAGACCTGCTGAAAGAGTGTATAAAATACTTTATTCTGAAGACTCTGGAAAGTAATTGGTTAGAATGAGATGAGACTGAACTCAATGCAGAGTTCAGGTACTTTCATATAAGATGACCACCTGGGCTAGTATTTAAAACCTATGTGTCTCATTCAGCAGCATTAGGTGTTTCTACTTTAGAACTTCGTTAGATAAAATAATCATGACTTTTCTATGACCCCAAAAAAAGAATATTCACTCTTTAAATATTTGCACCCTCCTCCCACTCCCAAGCCAAAAGCACACCATGCTTCTGACCTTGGCTCTGAAACCACACAGCTTCATCCATTTATACTCCTCTTCAGGACAGGAATTTCCTCTTGCTCAGCCCAACCCACTTTCCTCACATTGCCCAAGCTGAGCACCTCAAGCAGGATGCTCTTACCAGTTTCCTACCCCTTTTACCATTTCCTGCTAAGCCTCATCCCAGTCTGTCCTGCACTCCTGCTTTACCCCACCTCCTCTCAGGCCCCTGCTGGTGCTCTGTGGGGGAAGCTAGACCACCCCCAAGCTCCTATGAGAACACTTGAAAGAATCCAGCAAATATGATAACAACCCACTCTTCCAGAATTTCTAGTGTCTTTACCTGTAAGGTAGATGATCACCAAGCAAAATGTTATCTAAATACCTTGCAAAAATTACTCTTGTTAAATTATTTACCTTCAGCCTTTATTTTACAAGAATCTCCATTTGGCCACCACATGCTGTGTCTTGCAAAAGCTTAACTGCAGGTATTGGCCAGTATTCACATTAGAGGCAGTGCAATAAAATGGTTAAGAACCAGGGTTCTGCAATTAGACAGCCTGAATCTAAAAGCTGGAAACTTATTTAAGTTATCAACATCCCAGTTTCCTCATCTGAAATATTAGGTTAATAATATGTTCACATCATAGGTGTCTGGTGAGACTTAAAAGTGATAATTCCTTTAACTGGCATAATGCTTAGCACATGGCAACTATTCAGTAAATAGTAGCTATTGTTGCATTCCTGGAACATAACTATGTTACTTTTAGAATTTAATCTGGAGCAAAATGTTTTGTCAGACAATGAGATGTGTTTAACAGAGCATATATCCCCTTTTGCCTTTCCAGCCATACACATGTTTCAAAGGTGGTAATCAGCTCATATCAAGTGGCTAGTAACATTTACTCCATCATTTTCAATTCCAACAGTTCCCAACCTGGTTGCACATTACAATAACCAAGGGAGCTCTAGACCATAGGAAGTCAAATCTCTGTGAGTTTTTCTGAGCATCAGTATTTTTCAAAAGTTCTCCATTGATTCTAATGCATCTAAAGGTAAGAACAATTGATTTAGGCCTATTCTGTTTCCGTTTAATCTAGGTTTACAGTGTTCTACTTTGTTATCTTTCAAATATATTTTTTTTAAATAGGAAGGTTATGAGATTCACAAGGGATGCATGGATGATGGATGAAGGAAAAGATGGAAAGATGGACAGACACATAACTAAGTATTATATTCTCTAGCTTTATTGCAGTAAATATGAAGCATACAAAATGGGCATAAATGGCCTTTTAAAGACTTTTAACAAATTATTAACTGAGTATGAGAAGTAAAGGACAGGAATAAGTCAAAGATGACAAAAAGTTTTCTAGTCTACTTGCCTAAGGGAATAGTAATACTATTTTTTTTTCATTTTTTTATTAAGGTATTATATGTGTACATATCTTACCATTGCCCCCCCTCCCATATATGCTCTCATCCCCCAGAGTTTTGTGTCCATTGGTTATGCTTATATGCATGCATACAACTCCTTCGGTTGATCTCTTATCTCCCCCATATCTCTACCCTTCCCGTTGTAATTTGACAGTCTGTTTGTTACTTTTCTGTCTCTATGTCTATCTTTTTGTTCATCAGTTTATAATGTTCTTTATTATCCATAAATGAGTGAGGTCATGTGGTATTTGGCTTTCATTGACTGGCTTATTTCAGTTAGGATAATGTTGTCCAATTCCATCCAGGTTGCTACAAATGATAAGTATTCCTTCTTTTTTATGGCAGCATAGTATTCCATTGTGTAGATATACCTCTGCGTTCCATGACAGTGCACTCTGCCCTCACATGCTGCTCACCCTAAGTCCTATGAGAACACTTGAAAGAATCCAGAAAATATGATAACAACCCACTCAGAAGGAAGAGAGCAATTGGCCTACAGACAACTACACAGAAAGATAGGGCTCATGGCTGTTGAGCGCAGTGGCGGTGGTGGGAGCCTCTCCTGCCTCCATGATAGCACTAAGGTGCTGTAAGCTGAGTGGTAAGGAGCAGTGAGTAAGTGGGTGGTAAGGAATGAGGGGCCCCGGACTGTGAAAGGGATGTCCGCCTGCTGGCTTAGGCCTGTTTCCCATAGGGAAAATATACTATTTAAACTGTATATAACAAAATTTTATTAAAAGTGTTCCCCTTGGGCCTCATTGTGACTGAACATCAACCAACGCATCAAGAAGTCCTGGTTTGATTCTTGTGAGGGCACATACCCAGGTTTCAGGGTCATCCCCTAACAGAGGCACTCAATCAATGTTGATGTTTCTTTTCTTTCTTTTTTATTTCATTTCTCTACTATTTAAAGTTGATGTTTCTACCTCTATGTCCCTCTCCCTTCCTCTCTCTCTAAAACAAATAAAGTCATACTTTAAAAAATGTTCCTTAAATTAAAAAAAAAAAAAAAAAAAAGTGTTTCCCTTGGGAAAAGGTTTGAAGAATGAGAAGTAGGAGAAGCTCTGACCAGGTAGCTCTGATGGTTAGAGCATTGTACTAATAAGCAAGGTTGTAAGCACACACAAAAAGCAACCAATGGATACATAATCAAATGGAAAAACAAATCAATGTCTCTCTCTCTCTCTCTCTCAAATGAATAAATAAGGATATATTTTTTAAAAAGCATGAGGGATAACAAAGATATTTTTATTTTACACATTCAATAATATCCTGTGTTCTTTTAACTTTGTATGGGAATTGTATTTATAACTAAAAATTGTATAATTAAAATAACTCAAATTTGACAATAAAACTTTATTAAACAATCCAAACAAACCCCAACGTTTATAAACCTTAAGTAGCTTTTAGTAATACCCTTCAAAAACAGAGGTTGTAAGTAAACACTCAACCATAGTGAGGGAGAAACAAGCTTTAAAGAATAAAAATTCTGGCCCTGGCTGGTTTTTCTCAGTGGAAAGAGCATTCGCCTACAGACTGAAGGGTCCCGGGTTCAATTCTGGTCCCAGGCATGTACCTTGGTTGAAGGTTCAAACGGGGGCTTATGTGGGAGTGTGGGAGGTAACAAATGAGGATTAACAAAAACAAAAAGAATAAAAATTCTGTTCCTGACTTTCCTGGTTCTATAGCCAGGACACCCAGAAAGAACCTGCATACCAGAAAGAACACATGGAGGTGAAGATCTATCTTCCCCCTGCTGCCCTGATAACCATCTTGTGAAAAGTCACTAGTCCCTTCTCCATTCCACATCATTAGCCATTTTCTGGCTCAGGACTGCCAGGAAGCTTTCCCCAAGCCAGTAAGAAGCTTCACCAATGCTAAATGTCACTTCCTAGCGAAAAGGAACATGGGAGGTGGCGGGGGTGAGAGAGGTGGGAAGGATTTGCAACCTAGTTCAGCATCTGACTAAAACTGTAATCTTTCTCCCCACTCTGAATGACTTGGGTGGACCTGCAGAGCCTCACCCCAGGGCCCTGCCACAGCTGACTTGGGCAGAGCTGTGGAGCTGCAGTTCTGCAGAGCATGAACCCAAAGCCCTGCCACTTGAGTGGAGCTTTG